GTTGACCTTGTCCTCTAGGAATACACTCAGCAAAATGGCTTAGAACAAAAGATCTGAAGACAAAGATCCAGTTACAAGTCACCATTCCCCACGGGTTCTTTCCCACTCATCCTCTAGCCTGTTAGCTGGCACCGAGCCACAGGGGAAGGTACCAAAAAGGAAGTGTCATAACAAAGTGGTGTCCCACCCTCCTCAGGGGCTGAGGGGGAAGGAAGGAGGAGTTCTTTTAGGGTGGTCATCTGACCTTTGGTTCCACGGACTAATTCTCTTCTCATGGATTCTTTAAAACCATCTGAAATGTGAAACCCATATCCTTCCCATGTGCCAAAGGCTGCACCCACATCCTGCCAATGACCACCATCCCTTTTCCTTGGGTTTTGGTTGCAGAAAAGAATCAAGTTGAGAAAGACGGAGAGGGAGAGGGAGAGGGAGAGGGAGAGGAAGGGTAGGAAGAGAAACAAGGACTCTCATATTCCAGAATCCAACTGATTATTGATACTTCTCTCCACCTACCATTCACCAAGGAGAACCACCTTGGTCTTCTACCTGTTTTACATAACACCCCTTGCCAACCTTCCTGCTATTACCTCTATACTCTAAGTCATTCTCCATGTATAGAGCTGACAGATTACACGCAGGACACTCATTTAAATTTGCATTTCATGCAAATCAAAACTACCGTGAGATACCATCTCACACCAGTGAGAATGGCACATATTAAAAAAATGAGCAACAACAAATGTTGGCGAGGTTGTGGAGAAAAAGGAACTCTCCTGCACTGCTGGTGGGAATGCAAACTGGTCCAACCACTATGGAGAGCTGTGTGGAGATTCCTCAATCTTCTAAAGATGGAGCTTCCATATGATCCAGCAATTCCACTCCTAGGCATTTACCCAAAGGACATAGAACATTAATTCAAAAGGGCACCTGCACCCCTATGTTTATAGCAGCACTATTTATAATATCTAAGCTATGGAAACAACCCAAATGCCCCAAAATAGATGACTGGATCAAGAAGATGTGGTACATATACACAATGGAATATTACTCAGCAATCAAAAAAGATAAACTCATGCAATTTGCAGCAACATGGATGGAGCTGGAAGGGATCATGCTCAGTGAAATAAGCCAGAAAGAAAAAGAAAAATACCGGATGGTCTCACTCATAGCAGGAATTTAGAAAACCTGAATAAGGGGCCAGGAAAAATACTAATTATAATAAAGTAAAAATCAAAATCAACAAGCAACTATAAACCAGAGACACACTACAGGGAGGGAGAAGGGAATAGGATCAAAACAAGGGCGGTGAGAATTTTGGGGGGATTATAACCAAGATGAAAATGCACTGATTGTACAAAAATGAAAAATGATATAAAAAATATAAAATTAGGGCCTCCCCGGTGGCGCAGCGGTTGAGCGCTGGGTTGTGGAGCTGCCCGTGGCCTCTGCAGCGCCGGTTCGATCCCCAGCTGCTCCCCCGCCACCGGAGGAGGGTCCCACATGGCGCGCAGACCTCTCCTGCCGCCCGCTGCTCCCCTCAGCAGTGTACTTTGGTCCTTCTGCCTGCTCTGCTCCCCGCTCTGGCTCTGGTGAATTCTCTCATCCTCCCGCGCTTCTGACTGTACCCAGTGCATGTATAACCAACCAACCAACCAAACAAACAAACAAACAAATAAATAAATAAAGCATGCCTCTATAAAAAAAAAAATTTAAAAAAAGAATGAAAAAATAAAATTAAAAATAATAAAATTAAATTTGCATTTCATATAAATAACAAATGATTTCAGTACAAAAATGTCACAAGTATCATATACAATATACCTCTACTACAAATTATTAATTAACCAGAAATGCAAATTTAACTGGAGATCATGAAATTTGCTAAATCTGGCAACTTTATCCAGGGTGCAACCACAGTCATACTTTTAAATGTAAATTTGCTTATATCATCCCTCTGCTTAACATCCATCAAGAAGTTCCCATATCCAAGCCAAGTCTTATAATGACCTGCCTTCCCCAATACTTCCTGAATCTCATCTTCTGCCATTTTAGCCCTTGGCCAATCAATCTGACCAAACACTCCCTTAATAATCTTTATCCTGCTCCCAGAGAGCTTCACTGCCTGCTCTTTCATCCTCTTCAGGGTTTTGTTCAGATGATGTTATATTTTCAGTGAGGCTGTTTCTGACAACACTTATAAAAAACTGCAGCCACCCTCCCTTTTATCACCTCTCCTTGCTGACTCTCTATCACACACACGTACTGCTTGGTTTGCTTTCTCTCTCCCTGAAACACATGGCCTATGAGGGAGGGCGCTGCATTTGTTCAAGCTGAATATCTGGCACCTGGACCCTGCTTGGCACATAGTAGACATTCAATAAATCTTTGTTGCACCGATAATGAAACCCAAGGACAAGAAGTACAGCTAGGAAAGTTCAGAAACAAGGAGGATTTTTTTTTTCCCTGTTTGTTTCTTTGCAGGCTTGCTCAAATCTTCTCCACATACTCATCTTGCTCAAGGCCCTCTTTGGCCACCTTCCTGTGTCTCAGCAGGACTTTTCCAGGCGCCACCAAAAGACAAGGGTAATCAGATTGGCTCAGCTCACTCTCTCCCTCCCTCTATCTGACTGCCACTGGTGTTCCTCGCTTTTGTAATAAATGAGTAATATTTCTAAAAATACACTTAATTTCCTTAGTAGGCCTAATCTGACAAGAAGTGATTGAAGGGTTCTGACAAACAAGAGCAAATGTCATTGACTCTCTTCCTCTTGTCCTTTCCTAGGCTCGTTCCCTGCAGAGAAGACTTGATTCTCTGATCTGTATTAGGCAGGAAAGGAGACATTTTATTTTGGTAGCAAACAGCCCCCAAATCTCAATCTCTCTCTTTTTTTCCTAAAGATTTATTTATTCATGCATACAAGAGCTAGGGTACAGGCCAGAGTTGTGGGGGGTGAGAGGATTCACCAGAGACAGAGTGGGGAACAGAACAGGCAGACTGACTGAAATACACTGCTGAGGGGAGCAGCGGGCAAGACAGGCGAGGTCTGCTATGCCATGTGTGTTGTTCCCTGGCCGGCTGGGGATCAAACTCATGCTTCAGAGGCTGTGGATTGCTTCATAGTGCAGTGTTTAACCCCTTGTGCCACCAGGGAGGCCCAGATCTCAATCTCTTAAGACAGAATTCTACTTCTTGCTCATGCTATGCATCCAAAATGAATCGGCAGGGACTCTGCAGTGCTGAGTCTCAGATACCCAGTCTGATGGAGGCTCTTCCCAATTATGACTAGATCTATTGGTCCTCAGAGCAGGGAAAGTGAGATGGACAGACACACAGAGGTCCTTAAATGCATCAGCCCAGAAGTAAGGGCCACCACCCACTCACAGGCCCAGAGTTGGCCAGAGGTTCCATGTAATTTCAGGAGAACAAGGAAATGTGGAGATCGTGTATGTGACCTGGAGGAAATACATATCTCTTCTCAGGCACAATCCTAGGAAAGGCGGGGGAGAGAAAAAGTGGGCAAGGGGTCTGTTGAGACACAGATATTCATCTACTCACCCACTCACCTCCCACAGCTAAAGAAACTCAGATGAGCCTTGGCATGCCTGAGAGGAAGAGGTCAAATTAGAGCCAACGCTAAGCCCCCAAAGCAGACCAGACAGCAGTGAGAAACCAAGATGCTTTTTTTTTTTTTCTCTGTGAGCTGCTTTATTTTTTTTTTTTGTTTTTATTTATTTATTTATTTATTTATTTATTTTTTGTGTGTGTGTGATCTCTTTTTTTTTTAATAATAAATTTTATTTTTATATTCCCCCATACAATTGCAAACGCCCCATTCTGACCCCAATCCTTCCCCTCCCGCCCCCCACCCCCCAAAAGTGTCTCTGGTTCATAGTTTTTTGTTGATTTTGATTTTCACTTTCTTATATTCATTTTCCTGGTCCCTTATTTAAGTTTTCTAGATTCCTGCTATGAGTGAGACCATCCGGTATTTTTCTTTTTCTTTTTGGCTTATTTCGCTGAGCATGATCCCTTCCAGCGCCATCCATGTTGCTGCAAATTGCATGTGTTTATCTTTTTTGAATGCTGAGTAATATTCCATGGTGTATATGTACCACATCTTCTTGATCCAGTCATCTATTTTTGGGCATTTGGGTTGTTTCCAAAGCTTAGCTATTGTAAACAGTGCTGCTATAAACATAGGGGTGCAGGTGCTCTTTGGAATTGATGTTTCTGTGTCCTTTGGAAACCAAGATGCTTTTCTGGGTAATGCTGGCACCAGATGTGGCTCCCACCCCTTCCCTGACCCCATCCCTGTTATGGAAAATAATAACATCACTTTCCCTTTCTCCATCACTGACACTTTTCAAAGAGCTTTTTCCCTCTATGTGGACTTCATGAGAAGAGTGAAGAGATTATCATCTTTTCACAGAGGAGAAGCTAGTAGCTCAGGAAGGTGATGAGAACTGCCTAAGGTGGCAGAGCTCAGAAGAGGCATTATGAGGACTTCAGCAGCTCTGGTCGCCTCTGCCTCATCCAGAGCTCATAGTCGCACCATATGTCCTCAGAAGGACTGGGCAGCCCCTGGTCCCACAAGGGTCTCTTCCGTCCACCACATCCATGGGAAACTACCATTACTGCCTCCTTGTTTAGCATAAACATGAGGAGGTGCAAACATGAGGCTAAAGATAGCTCTGTTCAGGAAACAGAAAGCAAGTGATCATATGGGAGGTGGGGGCGACGTGTTGTGTTTTCAAAGCAAAACTGCCAGGGAACTTTCCCCAAATCACTCTCTTCAGATCTGCTGGGGACTAAGATGTGGGGCTGAACAGGCTGATAACAAGGAAGGCTGCCCAGGGCCTGGATCCTGCTGTGCCACTATTTTGCTACACAACATCAAGCAAGTAACAATCTTACTGAATCTCAATTTCCACACTTGTAAAATGACACTACTGAATCTACATTGCTGTCTATTATGTAAGATGATATATAGTAAACTTACATGGAGCCAGCACACAGATGATGTTCTATAAAAGCTGGCTGTTTTGAGCTGTGGGATGGGTTGAGAGGAAGACAGTAGGATCCGGAGGCTTGAATGCAAGAGCAGAAGAAACTGGATAGCAAGTCTTCCCAATTCTTGTCCTTCTGCCTCTCCTAAAGACAGCTAGGCAACAATAAAAAAAACATTTTAGGAGTAAAGAAGAAAAAACAGCAAAGAAACACCCACAGACTTATTATGAACACCTTACATTTTCTTTTTTAAAAAGATTTATTTATTTGTGCATACAAGAACTGGGGTACAGGCCAGAGGTGAGAGGATTCACCAAAGACAGAGTGGGGAGCAGAACAGGCAGATCTACTGACATATACTGCTGAGGGGAGCAGTGGGCAAGACAGGAGAGGTCTGCTGCACCATGTGGGTCATTTCCCTGGCCAGGGATCAAACTCGTGCTGCAGGGGCTGCAGATAGCTTCATAGTGCTGAGACTTAACCCCTTGCACCACCAGGGAGGCCCCAACACCTTATATTTTCTAAATACTATGTTTTCGGATGATTTCTGTGTTGTCCCTTAGATGTACGATAGTTATGCTTCAGTGTCAAACAATGCCCAAATCTCAAAGACTTGATATAATAAGGCTCATTTCTTATTATGAGACAGCAATCCACCGTGTGGTGAATTAGAAATGGAGGTGACGTTAGCATTATGGTGCCTGCATCAGGCACATGATCTCCTCCACTGTGATAGAGAACCATGCACAGGCTCTTAAATTCTTGAACCCCAGAAAATGTTAATCACATTCTACTCACCAGGTCTTGTCTTAAGGCAAAGCAGTGTAAGGAGAAGCCTCTGAAAATCAGGCTTCCTTGTGTTCAGGAAGAGAAATTAAGAGGACCAGTGAGCCAACTTCATGTTTGCGTGACTTTTCATTAGCTGCACATTCCATAATTGATGGTTAGATATTTAAATTGTTTCCAACTTTTCTGTATTATAAATATAATTACAACTTCCCAGTTTCACTGTGATGATAGCTGGTACCACCCTGGCATCAATGCTGCAATGTGGTCAGATCTGGAGCTATCAGCTCCTCATGCAGTGCCTCAGTGGAGATCTTCACTTGCCCAGATCAGCCCCAACTATTTCCCAAAGTCTTCAGGCTGGTGATGACCAATGAAATTCTTCTATTCACAAAAAATCCAGAAATAAACCCACAGATTTATGGTCAACTAATCTTTGACAAAGGAGCAAAGAATATGCATTGGAGCAAAGAAAGTCTGTTCAATAAATGGTGCTGGGAAAACTGGGTCGCTACATGCAAAAGAATGAAGCTTGACTACTACCTAACACCATGCACAAAAACCAACTCAAAATGGATTAAAGAACTAGACATAAGACCTGAAACCATAAAATACATAGAAGAAAATATAGGCGAAACACTACATGATATGCACATCAAAGACATCTTTACAGACACATCACCCAAAGCAGTGATAGTGAAGGCAAAGATAAACAGCTGGGACTACATCAAATTAAAGAGCTTCTGCACAGCAAAAGAGACAATAACCAAAATAAAGAGAAACCCCACCAACTGGGAAAACATTTTTGCACACAACACTAATGATAAAGGACTGATCACAAAAATCTGCAAAGAGCTGATGAGACTCAACAAAAACAAAGAAAATAATCCAGTGAAAAAATGGGCAGAAGAGCTAAAAAGAAACCTCTCTGAAGAGGAAATGCAAATGGCCAACAGGCATATGAAAAAATGTTCAACATCACCTGTAATCAGGGAAATGCAAATCAAAACTACCATGAGATACCATCTTACACCAGTGAGAATGGCACATATTAAAAAAACTAGCAACAACAAAAGTTGGTGAGGTTGTGGAGAAAAAGGAATTCTCCTGCACAGTTGGTGAGAGTGCAAACTGGTCCAACCACTATGGAGATATGTGTGGAGATTTCTTGACCTACTATACATAGAGCTTCCATATAATCCAGCAATTCCACTCCTAGGTATTTACCCAAAGGACACAGAAACATCAATTCCAAAGAGCACCTGCACCCCTATGTTTATAGCAGCACTGTTTACAATAGCTAAGCTTTGGAAACAACCCAAATGCCCAAAAATAGATGACTGGATCAAGAAGATGTGGTACATATACACCATGGAATATTACTCAGCATTCAAAAAAGAGAAACACATGCAATTGGCAGCAACATGGATGGAGCTGGAAGGGATCATGCTCAGCGAAATAAGCCAGAAAGAAAAAGAAAAATACCGGATGGTCTCACTCATAGCAGGAATCTAGAAAACTTAAATAAGGGACCAGGAAAAAGAATAACTATAAGAAAGAAAGTATCAAAATCAACAAACAACTATGAACCAGAAACACTCTATGGCGGGTGGGGGGCGGGGAAAGGAGGGCATGGGGTCAAAATAAGGGGGTTGTAATTGTATGGGGAATATAAAAAATAAAATTTAAATTAAAAAAATGAGCAATGATGTAAAAAAAAATTAAAAAAAAAAAAGAAATTCTTCTATTCACTCAGACATGTGCAGAGAGTGCTTGCTATATGGGAGGCACTCTGTTTGACAAGCATCTGGTGATATGGAAGGAAATGAGACAGCTGCAGTCCCTGCCCTCACGAACTCCATGCTCTCTCTTCTGCCCATTCCTCCTCTGCTGCCAGGAACCTTGGGGCACACTGCAACGAAGGCCCTGGACAGTGTGCTGATCTGTGGCAGAGAGGAGAGGGTAGGAGAGTGCTGTTCTCCTTGCTCCTGGCCACGCAGGATCTGAGGCTGTATTGCTTGGATGTGGAGTCTCATAGCTCTATTAATTCTGTTCCTTCCATTCTCTCATTAAGTCTCAAAACTAATTAAGGCAGCCAATCTTAGAGTGGTGGGGACTCAAATCCTCTTGTTCCCCATGGTCCTCATCTTTATCTTCTCTAGATACTTCTCACTTATTCCTCAACCAAAATCCAAAAACTGCCATGCAGGGGCCTCGCTGGTGGCACAGGGATTAAAGACAGTGCTATCAAGCTATCACCAGGCACTGCAGCATGGGTCTAATCCCTGGCCTGCCAGGGAGCAACCCACATGGCTCAGCAGACCTCTTCTGCCTCACCCACTTCTCCCCTCAACAGTGTATTTCAGTAGATCTGTCTGTTCTGCTCCCCACTCTCTCTGGTGAATCCTCTCACGCACCCCCCGCCCCACCTCTGGCTTATACCCTAGTTCTTGTATGCATAAACAAATAATCTTTAAGGAAAAAAAAAGCTTCCATGGGCCTCCCCGGTGGCACAGCGGTTGAGCGCTGGGTTGTGAAGCTGCCCGCAGCCTCTGCAGCGCCAGTTCAATCCCTGGCCACCGGGTGAGGGTCCCTCATGGCGTGCAGACCTCTCTTGCCACCTGCTGCTCCCCTCAGCAGTGTATTTCGTCCATCTGCCTGTTCTGCTCCCTGCTCTGGCTCTAGTGAATTCTCTCACCCTCCCGCACTTCTGACTGTACCCAGTGCTTGCATAAATAAATAAATAAATAAATAAATAAATAAATAAATAAATAAATCTTAAAAAAAAAAAAAAGCTGCCATGCATATCAACATTGCAATCACATGTTTGCAATCACACTCTTGCAATCACATTCTTGAAGGAGCACTGTGGACTCAGGGCCAGCTCATCCAGAAAAAAATAATGATAAGCCCATGGACATCACCCAAAAGAACTTCTTCCTTATTTTACATTATTTCCCTAGGCTAAATTTTCAGATGGTATTAATTGGGTCAAAGTGTAAAAACATTTTATGTCTCTTAATTTGAGTTGACAAATGGCCTTCCAAGGTTTGCATGGGAGACAGGCATCACCCGTGAAAATGTCAGCTCCTTGCACCATCACCAGGATTAGGCATTATCATTGTTTTAAATTTTTCATTGTGAGGGACAATATCATACTTTTCCCTGGTGTTAATTTTTATTTCTATTTCTATGATTACGTAGGCTTTAATATTATGTCACATTTGTTTAAAGCAATGCTTCTACTTGTGTAATTTGTCAGCACAGCTGTTTTGTTTATTTATTCAAGCCTTAATTTCTTAAACCAATTTTTATGAGTTCTTTATATAACAAAGATGTTAGTCTTCTGGTTGTGGTCAGGGCATCTTAGAGCCTCCACCCTACCACCCCCATTCTGGTCTCTTTGCCCTTTTTTGTTGGTTACTTCATTTTCACTGTTTTTGTTGTAGTGCAGAAGTTTTAAATTTTTATTTACTCAAATTCGTCAGTCGCTTAGTTTGTGGTTTCTTTTCTTTTCTTTTTTGTTTTCACTTCAAAGCCTATAAATGTATTTCCTGTCCAGAAATTTAATCAACATTTGATTCTAGCTGTCTTCTATGGGTTGATTTTTAACATTTAGATCTTCAATCTAAATGAAACTTACTTTAGAACTCTGCCATTTGTTTTTCCAACAAGTAGGAAGTATGAGACATCCTACAATTCCCGGAACCAACCAACCAAACAAATAGAAGAAGTTTAAATAAAAGTGCCTCACTCAGGGCATCTGAGGTGTGAGAATGAACTGTGGAATATGATTTTTTTCAGGCCAGCCACCATTTCCTTCTAGCGAATGAACAGGATTGGGATTGGCCATTTGGTCAATTCCTCTTCCAGCAGAGCTGGAAATAAAGTGAATAAAGTGAACATCAATAGTTAAAATTCTTCTTTCTTTTCTGAGTGTAACATCCACAGTGTGGAAGCTTAGCGGAGCAAGTGGAGAATCAGGGCAGGTCATTTTATTTCAGTAGTCTATAACAAACAATGATCTGGGGTTTGTGGCCCACGAATATTCTGATTTGGATCACCAGGCACCTTCATTGGGAAGGCTGTGTCGCTGCAGTCGCCAACAAAATCTTTTCAAGTGGAGAGGGGTGGAGGATGAGCCCAAGAAGCAGCACAGGCCGTACACGTACAGGCCCTAAAACATGAGCACTACAGAAAAGATGACCACAGGCCCTGAACAAGAATGACATGTAAATCCCTCAGGCATTGCATATTTTTTATTCTTATGGCACCAAGCGCTTACAGACCACTGTGGACCCCATGCCACGGCTATGTTGTCACAGTGCCCCAGTCGTCACAGTGCCCCTCCGTCACACGGCCTAGCAA